TTCTTTTCCCGCAACTCATAAATAATTAAATATTATTGCCTTATTTGAATAGGATTCTCTTTAACAAGGTTGGGTGAATGATATGGTTCAGCATAATCACGTTGTTGAGGTGCATTTTGATGCTGATGACGTACTATTTCATACTTTTGCCCTGATTGTTGACTATGATTATTATAATCATGATGTCCATTAATTCCATTATATACGTTAGAACTGGAATTTACACTACTGCCAGAACTATTACTAGCGTTAGAGCTAGTAATAATATTATTATTACTATTGCCAGCAATAAGATCAACATTACTAACAATGCCAACGCCTACTCCGACACCATTATCCATAACACCAACACTACCATTATTGGTGGTATTATTACCGTTAAAGCTATTATAACCACTACCACCACTAACTTTATTTTCTCCTACTTCACTTATTGGATTTTGCATTTTCTTTGATTTAACAAAATCTTCACATCTCTTAAGAATATCTTTTGTTGTCAGCACTTCTGGATTACTAAATAAATCTTGAACTTCTAAAATTGCCATTAAATCATCAGGCACCTTTTTTATTTTATTTTATTTTGAAAATGATAGTTGTAAGAAATTAATTTGTTGCTTATTCAGCTAATTAAAAAAGAAAAGAAAAAAACCTACCACCCAAAATTCATCTTGATATTTTAATAAATTATGAACAGCTTCAATTGCTAAAAATGATTCATCTTTTGATGGATCTTTTGATTTTGAATAAAGAATATTTGGTGTTATAACTGTGGCAAGATTATGAAGATCCATTTTACTACCTGTCTCTTCGTCAACATGGGAAAATGATGCTACCCATTTAAAAAATATGAAGGGAGAAAAATATAGATAAATGTCTTATAAATAAAAACAAAGAAAGGAATAAAGATAGATATCTTTATTACCATCTCAGGAGTTACATGCCTAAGTCTAAATCTAGGACGTTCATTTTGATTAATTATTCTAAAAGCCCTTGCTGTTTATTTTTTTGGTTCAAAATGTTGAAATTATTTTATTTTTTTATAGATTGTATGAAAAATAAAAGAAATTAAAAAAAAGGACTTACTTATTATTCGATAAAAAAATACTCCAAGAATAGAAAAAAGTATTGCAATAATACTTAATATCATATCATTTCTATTAATTATTATTATAGCCATGGTAAAATAAATATTGCGTACAATGAAAGGCAAATGAAGGAAGGAAATTTTTGTTTTTTATTTTATATATATATATAAAAATTAAATGAATATCAACACGTGATTTTACCAGAAGAAAAAACAATTTTATTATTATTGTTTTTTTGGCTGGGTGGGTTACATAATCAAATATTTTTATTGTAATATAAATAAATGTCCAACTCATCAAGTTTGCCTATATTATTTTCATTCTGTAAAAAACCTCACTATGGCAACGAATTGAAAAGTTTTTTTGATATAATAACCAAAATTTCATATATTGGAATTAAACTCGACTTGTCGAAATATGCAATTTTACAAAAAAAGAAAGCTAGTTTGTATCAAATAATTAATTTGTTTTCCATTTAATTAAATCTTTTAATCCTAAAATCAAAATAAATTATTTACTTATACAGCCAAACCTTATCACAGCGGGCTATAATTAAATTCTTGTCATAACATATTTTAAAATTTTCGCCCATGTTTTCTACTGCTTGCAACAATTTCATCATTAAGCATTTTAATTCCTAAATCAGAATTAATCTCAATGTAACTTCTTGCTGTAAATAGTAAGACGAAACTTGCAAAAATAGTAAAAATTATCTCTCAAAAATTTACCAAAACCACGTGAATCCGACTTATCAAAAGAAATTGTCCAAGTTAGGCTAAATCCAACTTATCGAGTGTCTGACTTATTGAGTTTACCTATTACTCTATGTATAGAAATTTAAATTTTCTCCCTCTCATAAATTTTAAAGAGATTATTGACTAGAAGTTACAAGTATATGAGAACCATCTAATAAATTAATTGAGGAAAAAGAGTATTTAACACACAAACACGAAGGTATTTACCACGAGTAGTACCAAGAGAAATATTACCTAATTTATCATCAAAGTTAATATCATATAATTAAGTTTATATACTTCCAAAATAATAATGAACTAAATTTTTGAAAGCATAATATTCCAATTCATGTTTCTCAATGGTAGAAAATTATAACAAGCTTTGCTAAATAAATAAATATCAATTAAAAAAATTAACTTTACACAGAATTCTATTAAATCTACCTTTCCTTTACATAAAGTTTTAAATGTCATGGCAAGTGCAAAGTGTGAATTAACTGACTTAATGGTTTTTTTGCCACCATTAAAAGTTAAAACCAAATTTTCATTAATCGATTACTTATTACAATATTCTTAATATCCTGCAGAACTTACTATATTATATTCCAATATGATTGATATCTTGTGGAGGATTTTCAGTAGATAATAATTCATTGACAAGTTTTTTCAGATTTGATAAATTTTCTCTATTGACTGCTTTCTCTTTATTAACTTTTTTATTGGTTGATGAATCGGTAGCAGGCACACCAATGTATTTGGATGGCAAATTACTTTTGGTCAATGTTTTGGGTATGTCAGATTCTTTGTTTCGTGAATGGTTATCATTGGAGCTCTCTCCAATAAATGGTATTAAACATAGTTTTTCAAATTACAAAAATATTTTAAAGGATAAATAAAAAACATGTATTTAAATGTTTAATGTTTATATTTCAATAAGAATACTTGTCAAATTTATTAATACATTTTTTGGATTAATGTTAATGACACTCTAGAAAAAAAAAAAGAATCTAGTCAACTCTAAATAGATACCAATTTCGTGCAACCATTTGATTTTGCGTTTTAACGTGTTATTTTCATAAAATGTTTTGTCACCAAAAAAAAAAAATAAATATAATAATAAATAATAAATAAAATAAGAAATGTCTTTTGAAAATTTTGATCAATATTTTGCTGATGAACCTGTAACTAACAACTTTATTTAATTCCTAATCTAACTGACTATTAAATCTTTCTTTTAATAATAATAATATTGGTTTAATTTGTGTAGAAAGTTCCAGTAAAATTTTTTAAAGAAGTTGATGGTTTAGGAAAACTTGTTGGAACTGATGATTCCATAGTAAGAAGAATATATTGTTATTATTATCGTTAAACAATATAATAATAATAATCATTATTATGATAATAATGATGATTTTAATTATTTATGAAGATGATTTTAATGAATAAATAAACATATATTAGAGAATCAAGGCAGGTGCAATAATAGATTTACCATTTTGGATAGCCAAAAGACTTGCAAAAAGGTTTGATAAATCAATTTATTTATTTATTCTGCACAAAATTAATTCATCCACCAACCATCAATAAAATTAACTTTGTAGGCAAATAGTAGGAATTCAACGACCAAAATTTCTTGAGGATCAAATTATAAATGCATTAATAGCTAATCCAATTGATGTCAACCTACGTATTATATGTCCACAATTTTATACTTTTGCAACAAAATATGTTGAACAGTTTGTATCATAATAATATAATAATAAAGGAAAAATTTTTTATCTATCTTTGAATCATGATTCGCGGTAAAAGTTTGCGTATTTACAAATCTCCATAATTATATTGAACAGTTTTCGATAATGGTTCAAGACCAAATCGTTAACACATTCTTGATGCTCAGTATTATGGGTACCGGCAGTATTGGAACTAGTGAAGGGAAGGAGATTGTTTTCGAGTATAATACGCGCAAAAAGTAGATACTGCGCCACATTTTAAAATTAATGTTAACACACAACAGCATATGGGCCGCCGATACAATCTTGTTAATGGTGTTAGTGAGATTCCACACTTATTATGCAAGATTTAGAAATCTTTGTAACGTGTTATTAACACAATAACAAGATTTTGTTAAATACATACATATATATATGTGTGTATCACGAATTAAATATTTTGAATGAAAAATAAGTGTGAACATTATCCACCCGAAAGAATTTATAATATGGATGAAACTGGTCTTTTCTACAGGTTATTATTTTTTTCCTAATAAAATCTAAGTTTAATT